TTAGTTTTTGACTAGAGATAGCAATAATTAAAGTTTCCTAAAATCGCAATTTTAAATTAAACAGATTTGCGCGAAAATATAATTATAATAATAAATTATAAAAATAAAATCAATCATAATCACGTGATCTTCCCTTTTATATTTGGCTTTATATTCATGGAAGCTGGAATATTAAATCAATGGTGGAAAGTCAATAAATTCACTTTAAGTTGATCCGTGTCAATAATCCATTCGTGCAGATACAAAAATATACTTTGCGGATTTCGACTGGTACCGAAATGGCTTTATGCTGCAAAATTCATAATCAGACAGACAATAAAGAGTGACTTGAAAGAAGACAGGACGGATATTATTCTCTTTTGCTTCTATATAAATCAGTAGAAAAAGATGTTAGATCGATTCCAATTTCTATAAAGCTCCGCTTATCACCTCGCATATCACTTTTGCTCGCAGGAATTCTTATTATTCATGAATAGTTATCGAGTCCTTGCTCCTAAATCTCGAGAATGCGGTATTATCGAATACGTACAAGTGATATATTCGGCTACGGAAAATTAATGATTTCAGACAAACAAAATAATAAAAGGAGGTTCGCCGTCTATGATTAATAACTGTTATCCTTCTGCTACCGGGATAAATCAGGAATTTGATCGAAGATAAATTTTTTTTTTATTGAAACGAGAATACAGCATTCAGTAACTAAGGATAGTGCATAATCGATCAATGACGACACGTGGAAAAATTCTGCAGTGTATCTTGTCTCAGGTAACTCTTCCTCTATTCCCGTGCTCATCTCACCGTAATGACGCGACTCGTCGATTCGCATAATGCATTCGTTAAAAAAAGCCACCGCGCGTCGCGGTATTACGTACGTCCTACCCTACAACCGACGTTGTCGGGTGTCCCGCACCCCTTTTACAATCCACGTCTGCGCGCCTCCCGACCGGGTCTATAAAAGCGACGCGAAGCGTCACGACGCTCCAGACGTTGAGATACGCGCACCACGGAAAATGTGACCGAGCGTCGTCGTATCGATACCTCGCCGCCGGAGTCTCTATTTCTGCGCCCGTCTCTCCCAAGTGACACCTGCTCCGAAAGCGAAATTGTCAGAGGACACGACTGACATAATTCCTACGACGCGCGCTGACTCGATTCGGCGTTTGTGATATCCGTGAGCAGCTGACACACGCGTGTGTCAGGACTCATCGCGATATGAACATGTAAACTAGGACACGCTAATCGGAATTTAATCAAGCAAAAGTGATTTCTACGCGTATTTATTGATACATATACAATATAACATTGACCGTAGTGTACCAGTGTGCAGTGTTATTACTGTCGATTGTCGACTGAATTTTATTGCCGTGGTACGTATCTGTATCGTGTTATCACTTCGCTATCATTGTAGCTGCGTGACTTTAATTTATATGTCTGTGCACAAACTTTTCAGTGCCAATATTTTAAGCCAGTTGTTTCTATAAATCTTGTTAAGCTTTGCGATGAAATTTGATATAATCCAATTAAAAAGATTTATTAACATTGAAAATTGTTTTCTATATAACACAATTTGAAAAGATTTTTAAATCATATTTACAAATAGTTAAAATATATTATAAAAATGATTGGCTTTGAAAATTATGTTATACCTGCTGACGTTTTCAAATTCTATTATTTTTATTAAAGTATGCTATAATTAAAAAAAGTTATAATTGCAGAGGAAATTAAAGCTACAATCGATTATATCACATTTTTTCAACGCTTAATTGGTAAAAACTTACAGTATAAACGATTTCCGTAACACTTGTGGCTCGTTGTCGATTTTTATATACATGACAGCTGAATTGCCTCATTAAACGCACGATACGCATGCACGTACGCACGTACACCAAAGTATAACACTACTAACTCGCGTGTATTAAAATAGAGTGCCCAGTAAACATAAATGCTAAATATATGCCTCTGAGGCTTGTCAAAATTAACCGGTTTGAACCGGTGGAAATGCGAAAAAATAGCCATGACACAAAACAATGAACATAAAATAAAAAAAAAAGAAACGGGAGACCATTGCTATTTGAAATTTTCTAAAATTAAAGTCACTTTTATATAGAAAATGTAAATTTAAAAAACGAGCGATGTTTTTACAAAAGCACAATCACATACACAAATCAAGAACATGTAATTCATATATCATATTAATAATTAAAGCAATATCAATAAGCAAATTCTCGATATGAAGTTTTATCCCGTATGATGCATTACGTTATTAAAATATTATGCCACCCACGAAGTTGATTTGCGTCTTATTGCATTTATTTCGTCACATGATGACATTTACGTTGGGCCTCAAATCTCCAAAAATTTATGGAACGATTCGAAGTAGATATATGTTCGTCGTTAAACGAACGATATTCGTATCTATGTAATTTATACTTTTATTGATTGCATTGCAGTTTAACAATCTTTTTAAAACACTAAGAGTACTAAATTTAAATATATTTTAACTCTTAAATTATTAAATCTTTGTATCTTTTATTATTAAAAATCAAGAATTCACATACGTACTTGCGTTACCAAATTGCTCGATAAATAATGATACTATGTAACAAATTAAAATAATAAATAGCACAAGAATATAAATTTTGCGTAAAGCAAAAAATAATAAATAAAGTAATAAATAACACAAATATAAAAATAGAAATTTAGCGTATATAAATTTCTATACTTTTAAAAACTTGATATAATTACGAAAGTAAATTAAGAAGCGTAAAATAATAATTATACAATTACAATTTATTATTTTTTCTATTTATTATTTTTTCTCCCCTTCTACCTAATTAATTGTATCCATGTTCGTAAATATATCTTGAATTATTCTGAAGCAATTTATATAAACTAAAGAGAAGTTTAATAATTTACTATATATACGTCTAGCTTTTGCTATACTGCATTCAATTTTGAAACACATTCAATTCCTCTTTATTTTTTATTACTAATTTGATAAATAATATCAATAAATCAATAAAAGTATAAGTAAATGCCATGTCGCGAAAAGAATATCGGCGTGCAAGATCGGCGGAAAATTTTGGGATTCGATGCCGACTAAATTCACGGGCCGTCGACGAAAGCGTAAACGGTTCTATTGATCTAGCTAGGGTCTAAATGTTCTGGGTTCACCCAACCACCCTCCAGCCTGACTCTCAGGCTTTCTGTTGCACCGCGAGAGTGCAGCTCTCTTCAACGAGAACGGAAGGCAACAACATTAAACATCATACAAAATAATACACGTGAAAATAAAAGGACAAGGATCGCTATCTTCGATGACGATTCAAAAGATTCTTCTGCCACACATCTTACCAAATAAACTATTCGATTCGCGTGATCGTAGAACACAACACTCGAGCGCATTTACAGGAGATGGCAGATACATCACGTTTCTACTATTTTGATGACGCACGTGTGAGATCACGCGAGAAGTGCGCTCAAAAGAGAAACAGTTCCTAAAATCGCAGAGAAATCGTTTGATAGATCAATGTCTGCTTAATGTTATTGTTATGCAATAGCGGCCGATGGATTCCGATAAATTTTAGTTTGTGCACTTTGCCGACGAAAATACAAGATTCTGTTCTACACATGTTGCACGATGTTCCCAGTACTTACTTTCAACTATGGATTCCTTGAATCAATTTACAATGAAATTCTCCAAGTTAAAACTTAGATCGCACATGTTGACTCTCTATATATAAATTTCAAAAAGAATAACACGCAAATTCTTCGTAATTAACTCTTAAAAGACATAATTCTCATAAAATAAATTCTATTTCATACTTTAAAGGAATACAATTTCTTTAGATATTTTCCGTATTAAAATATAATACGGAAAAGTGGATTTTCAATGAATTGTAAATTTCTCGTTTTCTCAAAAATGAAAGATATTATAGAAAATAAATTATATTTTTATTTAGAAAATAATTACATCTCTCTCTTGTCGGGACAATCTTTCTTCTGATGATTCCTGTTTCCTATATCGTGCGATTCATAACATCGCATGTGTTCGTGATATATCATATTCTAGAAGCGCGATTAATCTGCATGTTGCTATTTATGAACTAGAACGCGCGTTGCATGATCGGACACGAAGTATGAATATATTATCTCTTTGCGGAAGGAAACGTGGGAACATTTCTCAATATGGTCGCACGTTTGTCGCGTTGACGATCGTAGGCGTCGTCATATGCTTGAGATTCATTGTCCCCAGGAGACAAAGATGATATTTCTTCGACAGAGCGTTATCCAAGTATGAAATTAATGTGGACGTCCTTCCGACAGATGAAATTCTAATTTCCGCTCTTGACGAGGAGGCGGCCGATGGCTATACAAAACGAAAGTGACAAGAACTAAGAGATGAAAATATCACAAAAAGAGACAAAGATATTGATCTTTATTATAATAAACAGATTAAAATAGAACAATAAGACGAAATAAAATTAATTAAATTAAAATATCTATAAATAAAATAAATAAATGAAATAAAATAATCTAGACATCTAGTTATTTTTATATTTAATTTTTATAAAATCTAAACATCGCTCGTTATATAAATCTGCATTGCAATTTTACGTCAAAAACTTATCTAAATATAACTTTATATTTCTTTTTGTTCCAGATGAAGCTGCACGAGAAAAAAGAATCAGGCATCCACAGGGTGCAGGAGGTGCCTCTCGAGGAGCTGGACTTGTCAAAAGAGTACGATGTAGAAAAAACTTTGGGCGAAGGCAGTTTTGCGAAAGTTCTACTAGCAACGCACAGGGCTACTCAGACAAGAGTGGTCTTGAAAGCGGTTCATCAAGAACTTACGTCGGAGAAGGATTTCTTTCGGGAATTTCATTACTCGTACCACCTGAGCCCGCATCCCAATATACTCTGCTCGTATGCTGTCGCCTTTAAAGCGGAGAAATGTTTCGTTTTCGCGCAGGAATATGCGCCCTACGGCGACCTCGCCGGTAATGTAAAGGCCGGTGGACTCAGCGAGGATGCCTGCAAAAGAATCGCCGGCCAGCTTGCCTCGGCGCTTGACTTTATTCATTCAAAGCAGCTGGCTCATCGCGATATCAAGTTGGAGAACGTGTTGGTGTTTGCACAGGACATGAGCAAGGTGAAGCTGTGCGACTTTGGCTGCACAAAGCGCGAGGGTACCCTCGTGAACAAGATTCGTTGCACCTGGATACCATTCCAACCACCTGAGATTCACGACGTCATCAAGAACGAGAGGTACGCTTGCAAGAGGAGCTCGGACTGTTGGCAGTTTGGCATCGTTCTCTTTGTTTGCCTGACTGGCAATCCACCGTGGCAGAGCGCCGACCTAATCCAAGACCCAGATTATTCGGCCTTCCAACGATGGCTGAAACGACGCACCACCAAAATTCCGCCGACTTTCCGCCGCTTCACCCCTAGACTACTCCGATACTTCAGACGAGCGTTTGAGCACAAGCCAGAGAAGAGGCCTCACGTGACCGAGATCAACAAGTACCTAAAGGACTCGTGGTGCATCAGCAAGCTCAGCCACAGCGCGACGTCAACGTCGGTCGACGTTAGCGAGAGTCTCGCCAAACGAGGCGACAGCTTGTTGTATCTCGACACCATCCTAGACGACCGGCACAACGTGGACGAGAACAAGAACAAGCTGAGGAAATTGCTCAACAGCTACGGCTTGGAGACGACAGTGGACCAGAAGGTTGTCACCAAGAGGATATGGGAATGGGTGATGCAGTGCGATTCCAACATGGACACAGAGTCGGGTCTGATTGGCAGTTTCAGCACGGAGGACATGTGAGAAATAGTGAGAACCTGCAGCGAGCCGTGCCTTCGGGTCACCCAGGAAGAACCGATCAAATTCCGAATGGGCAGCTTTTACATGCCGACTTCGTACAAATGTGCCAAATAATTGGCAAGAGAGAGTTCTAGCCGAGAGAGAGAGAGAGAGAGAGAGAGAGAGAGAGAGAGAGAGAGAGAGAGAGAGAGAGAGAGAGAGAGAGAGAGACGAGACGAGAGAGAGTAGACGAG